AAGGGAACAATAATATAATAACGAAATCCAACACCTATGTGTGATTCAGTGAACATACTTGGAAGTCGAACCTGGAATTGTCGTTCAACTAATCACATTAGGAGTGATAGAATAAATGATATACGTGTGTTTCATCAGAAACCAGTCTAATATATATGAATAGTGATTACAGAAGATTGTGGAAATGCATAATTGTTTACAGAGTGAAGAAGTATTTATGTTATTTAAGGTCAACGTGATGTGTGTTGTGTGTCTTAACGATATTTACCACTCTTTCTTATAATTGTACTTCAGAAATAATTTAATTATAACAGAAATGAAAATTATCGCTTTATTCCAAACAGTAATTTTGGCACAAATATCCAATTTTTCAGTATGATCAGCTCAGAGTACTAAAAGAAGCGACAGTACTCCAGATAGTGTGTAGAATGTATCGGTAAGATCAGTGGAAATTGGAGCTTAAGTTGTTTGGGTTGGTTTTCTGCCCTCTCATACTGATCCACATCACTTGTTGCATATGAGACAACTTAATTCAATCAAAATTGAAGCGCCTTGTATACCTTCCACATATATGTTACACAGAAACACATTACAGCATTTGTCATGAAATTCGCATTTAGCTCCAACAGATAACATTACTGTAAACATTATCCCATTCAGACTGTTCACCACATGAAAGACCAAAGAGAATTAAATAAGTTGTCACTATGGGTGCGCTTTTCGATTACTGAGCTACATTTGCATAGTTACCTAAAACTCTGATTTTTGTGGAATATCTTGTCAAAAAGTTGCAAAAAACTATGACGATTATTTGACTTTGAAACACTGAATCCTTGGATATAATATTGTATATAAATTACACCTATAACTATCAATTTGCCACTCTGTGCTTGTTTAACACTAACTAATACCTATAATTGTATATATATTGATGGATTTACATGTTCAAGTTGCCTCAAGTCAGTGAGTCCATGATTTTGGTATCATTTTGGTTAACTGTAATTGACTGTGATATTATTATTGTTGTTGTCGCTTGTTACCCTTCTTGTTGTGAATTATTTTCCCGTGCTGGTGTTTTTCTGCTTGTTTAATTCCCTGTTTTCCTTGTTTTAAGGGGAGCAACCCACAAGTTCGCTTCTCTCTAAATTATAAATTGATGTAACAACCCCCCTTCTCAGGCGTGAGGCTAGCAACCCCACCCTGTAAACAAACCTGCTACAGAAACTTCAGCACGATGTATCTCCTTGAGACAAAAGAAAAAGTCTGTGTGGAGACATGGAATGTCCGTACCATGTTCGAGATTGGCAAAGCTGCCCAGATCGCAAACGAAATGAAAAGATACAGAATTCAAGTACTCGGAATATGTGAAAGCAGATGGAACGGGAGTGGACTCACCAAATTGTCAACGGGTGAGTCGGTGATCTACCCGGAAGATAACCACTCGCACACACATGAAAGACCAAAGAGAATTATATAAAGTCAACTAATGAGTTTCAGTAATGTCAGAATGAAGTCAATCCTAAATGAAACAGTGAATGGGACATTTTATAAAGTTAAATGTGTCTATAAATACCAATACGTAAACAACATCTGACCAATATGATCGTATGTATGTTCGAGGTACGAATTCAACTTCACAATTAGCCCATAGATTTTCAAGTCCATGTATATATCAAGTTGATTGATGGTGATCGAACAACTGCATTCTGGTCAATTTGTGTACAGAGTGTTTCAGTATCTCTCCTGAACTGCAGGATTCTCGTGATATAAATCTGACAGTGTATGGTTTGCCTCCCACACTCACAAGCATGCTTCATGTTTCATCGTCTTATGTATCAGGCATTCTGATTTGAAATTGCTGTTTGGATAATCACGTAAGGGATAACATGATGTGAGGTGCAGTACACATTATGTCAAACTGGTTGATGGCTTCATCAGTGGATTTGTTAAATATTGTGATAATGTAATGTTCAAATGGAGACAGAAGAAACACTGATATCTGGAATGCGTGATGTTTCCAATGCCAAGAATATCTGCCTAAAACGTCATTTGGATGCTGAAATAGTGATCATTCAGCAGTCGGCTGAGTTAGAGGAGCAACTCATTTATATGTGATATACATGATACTCAGACGCCGTTTTACATGCGAAGTAGATTTTACTTGAAATATCCATCAGAAACTGCACGAATACAAGTCAGAATTGACTATTTCCTTCAAACTCAATTTCCACATTTCCTGCACCTACTATTCGGAAACTCACTCAAAGATAGGGTAATTTCTCAACTGCTTGTTTGTCGACCTTTACGTTTCAATTCGACTTTGGTGGATTTCTCAACCCTGTGTATTCTCTGTGGTCTTGTAGACTTGTTAGGAGCATGTAGAGCTGCAATTCAACTGAATCGTTGTTTAGAAAATCCCTGGTGAAATATCTAGTTAGGAGAATTCTTCTTAATTCTATGTTTTACTGTCTTTGTAGTTATTTAAAGCAGTATCCATTTCCTACTTAAAAGAGTTACTGCTTCTTTGTACTAAGAATGTTAAGTTTACATTCGAGGGCGAGCATTATCACCAGATCGATGGTGTTGCCATGGGAAGCCCCCTAGGTCCATTGTTAGCTGATATATATATGTCGCATGTCGAGAACCTAGTGGATAAAGAAATTGGAAAAGTTTATTTTTATAAAAGATATGTAGATGACATAATAGTCATTTGTGATAAACCGACAGACGCCGTAGAAATCCTTAACCGGATCAATAGAGCACAAAACAGCATATCACTAACATATGTTAAAGAGAATAATGGATGCCTGCCATTTTTAGATGTACTAATAACCCGCTGAGAAGATGGGTCAGTAAAACGATCTGTCTACAGAAAGTCCACATGGACGGGACAGTACCTAAATTATCATAGTTTCTGTCCACTACAGTATAAGAAGGCGTTGGTTAAATGTTTGTTTAAGCGCATTCATCGTATATGTACTGCCGATACAATTGAAGAAGAAAGACAACACCTTACTGAAATATTGTTAGACAACAATTACCCACTGAGATTTATTAGACGTTACGGAAGTGTCAACCATAGAGCCTTACCAATCCAATCAGCTCCCAGAAAGGATGTTTACATGTCCTTACCGTTCAGAGGTGATCAACAAAGTTTAGTCACTAGACAAAGACTAAAGGCCACAATCAATAGAACCTATTATGCAGCTAAACTTATCTTCATAGAGAAAACGAGGACTATGCTGTTCTGCAAACCCTCACATCATCCGAACGATAGTGTCACATCCCACTGTGTTTATCAATTTACATGTATGTGTGGAGACACGTACATAGGGAGGACCCATCGGTCTCTGCAGGTTAGGGCTACAGAACACATTCCAAAGTGGCTGCAGCAACAAATGAAATCACCAGACACAATTGAACCCGGAAATAGATGTCCAAAATCATCTATAGACAAGCATATTATAGAGACGGGTCATAAGGTTGATTTCAACAGTGCCTTTAAGCCGATATATAAAATGAGGTTGGGCCACATACTTAAATTCATTGAAGCCTTAGCCATAAAAAGACTTAAACCTGCCTTATGTGTCCAAAAGTTATTTGTTATCACCTTAAACCTGCCTTGGTAATTCAATTTAGAACCAAGGACTAATTTACTTCCTAATATTTTCAACCCCTTCTTTGCCTTGAGTTTTCTCCTTTTATCTTTCTTACCCACACCTTTTGTGTCTCCCTACCCATTATTTGTGACCTTGACCTGTATACAATCAGACCTGTATTGTAATTATTCATGCCTTCTTGCATTATATAAAAACTGTGTATGTGATCAGAATGTCCGAAATGTGTTGCGCCAATACACTACACGTTTCAGATAAACTACGTCTTCTTATTGTGTTGTCGAAATTTGTAGTTATTATTCAGTTTGCTCCTGGCCTGCATATTATTCTTCAGACATTCGCATATCATATGTTCACTTCATGCTTATTATTTGTCTTTTTCCGTGTTACATCTCTAATTCCAATGTTTCTCTTTGTGGATGTACGATACATTTATAACGTGTTGTTTAACCATGTGATTTAGTTTGAGTGAATCGAGGCGATTATGACCTTGAAATTTCTTCAGAAATTGCCGGTTTGTTTGATTTCTCCCTATAGTATTTGTTTTGAATTAGAAATTTCCCTTACCTATATAGCTGCCTAGCGACACTGGTACGGTAATTCTGAGTTTCTGACATTATTAGTGTTGTTGAATGGAACCAAGTAGATTTTACGACGAATAACCCTCTTTTAACTGTCTTTGAAGCGTTTTTATCACTGTGCATCTCTCGAGGAAGTTTAGAAGAGCAAGACAGTAGGATGCCATTAACGGTCCCTGTACTCACACCACAATGAGTCGGTAGTCTTCATTAAATATGGGTTTATGGAAGTGCATTCTTCAGACATATCGGTATATCTAGATAAAATTCTGTGTGTTCTTATTAAGTTGTATCTAATTGGTACCAGTGATGAGGAGGATAACGTTAAAACTATGTTGGTTACTGGAATTAGTGCCTAACATCTGATCACTTATTCCATTTCAAATGCTGTGGGAACTTGTTTTACGTACTCTTAGTGCATATAGTCTGTGGTATCCGTGACCACCTCCTCCAAGGACATTGACTCAGTTGTGTTATAATTGAAGTCAATGACGTGTATAGGTATTCACGTTTTCGTTCGCCAATGAATCAGTAGATCCGACTTCATTTCCTATAGGGTTCATGTGTTTGAATAACACAACAGATAATTTGCGCCATGAAGATCCTCTTTCCTCTCGGGAGTATCTGAAGCACATTTGATTGATAGACTAAGTCTCCTAACTGCCACGTGATAACCAATTTTACACTATCACCTGCCCGATGACGACAACCAACAGCAAAATGTTCCACCGTGAATTTAAATATTAACCACACTCTATCACAGCGATAAGTTGAATAAAGTTTGAATTTATGAAGAGAAAAGTGATGTTGCAGATAAACGATTTATTTAATTTAATTCAAAACAAAAATATTTACGAAAGCCTCTACAATCTTCATGTATTCAATGGTACGCCAACGTTGAGACATTCATCCTGGTACTTCTCTTCAATAGCCTGTATGAGAATAAATTCAATCAGCAATATTGTTGGAAAAAATATTAATGGTGAAATAATCAAGAAAGACCTGTATACTGCAGGGGAGGATGATCAGTGCTGAAGTGTTTGCTTATTCATAGAATCCCAGAATTCTGAATATTTTCTATGAAGGATAATTTCCACTTTCATTATTTGTCCGGGTATATATGAGCTGCTACATTTCAATAATTCATTATCGGTCGTTTGAATTTCAGTAGCTTGATTGCATAGCCTCAGTACCATCTATTTAGAACTATCATGATATTATTCATTGGAGAATATCCTCACGGTGACTTACAACGCTATCCATGATACTTTCATTATTCGATTAAACACGGGTATTCGAGACTATAATTTCAATGATGGGATAATAGTTGATGGTAGAAAATGTATTCAAACAGTTTGCAGTGAATATCCAAATCCTGTGTTTTGAAATGTCCTCACTCATCATCCTAAACTCTCTCACATTTCGTGTCCTTGAGATTCTAACCACCACTCAATTAACATACCTTCCTTTTGTTTGTTAGTTTTCTCTGATGGAGGGTGAAAATTAAAATGCAAAATAAATCTCACCTTTCAACACTTTCATCTGGGTTGTGTAAAGGTTCTTGTAAACTAGAAATGATAAAAAAATATTGAAAAATATTTAAATTGTCCAGTGAAGTTGATTGTCGTCTATCACTGCGTTTGTCTGTTAATTAACATTAGATAGGCACTGACTATTCTCACTATCTCACACCATTTGCATACACATACTCTTTTCTCATTCATATTTCCGATTGTAAAGTTCAAATAATACAAAGGAAAATGAACTCACAAATGTTCATGCTAAACAATTTTTTCTGGATGAATACTTCTTCCACTTCCATAGCCAGTTGATGAAACTCTGAAATAATTCATGAACAAATATCTATCTATCTATCAGAATGCATTTCACAGAATAAATAAATTGACATTCGAACTTAAAACTACATGAAATGATGCAAAATAATGTGTTTCACGCACAGATTCAAACAAGTGACTACTCTACAAACTCTCATCCACTTGCATGAGATGTCAACATTGCACGATGTCCAAACTGCAATCATCAAGTCATTATGTTAGTACTCATCCAGTTTCACGTTTAACAAATTGTTTTCCAGTGTGTGCATTTGTAGACGACTGACAGCATCTTAAACAGTGAACTTGTTCGTCCTCCTTCCTCCTAACATTACTTTTTGACTCTTTGAAAATGCTCATGATATGCAATCGTATAACAAGTGGATTGTTCACGAATTCAAAACATGATGAAGGGGTATTGTGACATGTGAAAGGATACTCTAATCATAGGTGTATATAAAAATGTCATTTATTTCATCCTGAATGTAAAGTAGGCACAAATGAATACCTTCTTCTAACGATGAAGGCACGTCATTGAAACATTCGTTATCTATTCGGAAATCCCAATTCTTTTCTATTTTTTAAATGAGTAAGAGCAGAAAAAACAGTTTGATTACTGACGTGAATTTTCATCAGATATTTGTGGAGACTGGAATTTCGAAAATCCTTACTCCACACTGACAAAAACACAGTTCAGACAGATTAGCGTGTAATAAAATGCTACTTACGATCATATACTGCCAATTCTTCTTTGCAACACTTTATTGTATCATCTAATGTTCCGTCATTGTCTGTAAATAAATTAGTTTCACACATGTCTATCGTTTTCAATTTAAAACGTTTATACATTCATGCATGTTAAACGTCAACACAACCACAATTAAGACGAAGAGAATATGTTTACTAATTTACGGATTGTCAATGAATATATGCGAAATGATAAATAGGCAGTGAAACATCTGTTGTCAGTCTCTTCCTCATGCTCAGTGCAGGAGGAAATTCTCCATCCTTATTTAACGTTAGCAAATAAAAGGCATGAATGAGATTCTAGATGAGATGGTAAGGCGAGAGTATTAGCTAGATGAAGATTGCTAGCCAGAATATTTCTGAGAAATAATCATGATGTTAAATACGTACAGCAATGATTCAAAATAATTAACTTACTGCTAGTGAGATGGTCTATGATACCTTGGAAAGACACAAAGATTTTAATATATTCAGCAGATCTGATCAATTTTTTAGTTAAGAAACTTGCAAACATTCATCACGCCACAGTCAAACAGGCGTTAAATTATTGAAATGACCAGTGAGAAGGTATATCACCAACTGTGTGTGAATAAGGATTCTGACTTCTGATTTATCGAATGAAAGCACAATATGGTGATGTATAAATTTCGCGAATAAAATTGTATTTTAAAAGAAAAATTGCTAGGACGCACTTTCAAGTCCCCTCTGTGCCGAAATTAGTTCAAATCCAAATTCCAGGCATTTAATATCTAAAATAGATCGTTCGTAATTTCAATACATTCGGTTTGCTTACGGTCTTCTAAAAAGCCTCGTAAGCTTTCATTTTGACTGAGAAGTTTGTCTAGGAAAAGAGAAAAGCCAAAAGGTTGGATGTTTCAGGCTTGTGGAGATGTGCAATACAATCCCGTTATTATCTGTTACATACTAGATAACATGACGGATGTACTGATGTCATCGTAGTAATAATTTTGAAAGCATAATTCGAAGCATATTTTCATCAGCGTGAAAATATTATCAAAAATAAAGCTTTATGTTTTATATACCTTTATGAATTTGTACTATGCTCTTTGCACTTTTCAGCTCCGAAATTATTCCGGATATTTCATCTATGAGGAAACAAGAATATCTTGTATGAATTGTGATATATATTGAGTAAGTATAATCATTGAATACAAGTGAATAACGCTTATTGGAAATAGTTTCTTTGAAGACGCCTGAAGGAAATTCAGTTAGGGCAGTCAGCATACGTCAATAGTATATCTGCTGCACTGTCATTCTCGACACTGTCTTTAGTGATATTATGATCAGTTTACGAGTCATCATCAAGGAAAATCATCGCTGCAACAATCATTGTAAGACTTTTGTCACCCTTAAACTATTATCATGATAAATATACAAGCAGATTGATAAACTCAAATAATGTGCATGTCATTCATTCTTACTTTCAGTTTCGTTTAGCATCTTTGCAAGTTTAGTTACATTCGTCGATTCGCCTTGAAATTAAATGAAGAAATGTAAACGACAATTACTGTACAGAGAAGAAGTTTCAGAATACAAAAAAAAAATTTCAAATCAATTTCTCCACTTGAAATACATCAAACTCCTCGTGTGAGTTTCATGAATGCCATTCCAGTGCAGACACACGTAATCTCAAAATGTCTATTCAAGCAATTTAACTGTTAGGAAATTTTAGACTAACACACTGTCAAAATGAGAGAACATGTCACTGTACAATTTTTAATATACACAGTTTCATAATCAGAATTAAAGTGAAAAGTGACTTCCCTATTACACTGCTTGTCACCATCTATCAGGCAAGATGAGTCTGAGATGAGAGCACTTGCAGAAAATGACTATTCCGGAGTAGAAACTTAACCAGAGAGAATGACCCGTGATAGTACCTAGCGAAATATCCTACAGTTCTAGTGAATAAGGCAAACATTGCATAAAGATTAGGCCACAAAAAAGTCATTTTATGAAGAAACGCTTACCTTCGTTTATGGTCGTGAATGCCAACAGAGTGACGAAAGCTACTTGGCTGTATGTGAAGTAGACCATCTTCTTATGGTAACTGACTTTCCGTTCCCGTATTTATACCACAACAAGCAGTCACAGTTATTGTTGTAATTTGATGATTGGTTGATTATAATAATCATAATTTCATTGTTCATTTGTGGAAGACTGTGAGTGTTGTGAGTGGTGAGCAAAGAACTTCTCATGATGTCGGGTGACTCATATAATGAATCATCGGAATCTGATAGGTGTAATGAAATCTATCAATCTGCAGAGAGACACTTTAATCTAAATAGTAAGAATAATTCATGTGGTGGCATTCACATGAAGATAGCACACTCGCGATACATATTGGAAGATCGGAACTGGAGAGTTATCCAGCTTCACGAAGATTTGAATTAACCTTACTAATCTGCATTATTGGTGTAAGTAACAAAACTTGGGCACTGTGGTGGTAGAGTATAACTCCATTATAGATAAGAGTTTATTTTGATAAATCACACAGTGTTATCCAGTAATATTAACTGATGACCACGTTTCGAGCACAAACTATTGCTCATATTCATATCGAGGGACTCACACTAATGGTTTTATATACATTTATACCAATCTGCACCTGAACCTGAATATTTAATCCCATGCAGTACAACACTCAACGCTTTTTGACATATTCACAGCAGAAATCATTTATGTTTGTTCGTATCGGTAAATTTTTCATCAAACTCTACGGTAAAATCACATGGATGTCAGAATACAATAGTGTCAGTGCAGGCAAGCTGGAAGGCGATCAGATACTTACTGTATTGAGTGAACTAGAAATGCAAAATAGATCGCCATTTAATGCCAGCTGAAATCTACAGTCATTAGGAATATGAGATACGTACGGTTAGACTAAACAAGTAAAGAAGCCAACTGTGCATTCATGATCCGCAGGTGTACCATTTTCATAGGTGAGTTGTATTCACTGATGTGAAGGAAACGTGAATACTACAAAAGGATGGAAAAACAAATGGAGCAAACCAAATGTAAGTCCCACTCACAAAGGTAATGAGATTGTTTTGTGACAAGTGATCAAATAATAGCACACGAAATGTAAAAATAGTAATAATGATAATCGGTAGTAGGTGAGGAATGTTGTGAAGTTTACTAGGTGAGGAAGAGTAGGAAGGAGGTGAATATATATGAGATGACCACATAATATTCAGTAGTAAGCACAGTTAATGAATGTGATGATTTTGGACGCATTATGATTTTTCAGTCCTGTCGCGTATACACTTCTCCACACAACAGTACGCTGAAGAAGTAACTGAGCCTAGATATTTTGTCAAACATAAAGACGTAGTGTGTCAGATTTAGACTGTTTGACAGTAGTAACATAAGCACATGAGTTAGGCATACTTTTCTCCTTTAGTGACTTCAGCGTTTTAACAATCTGGTACTGCATAGACTCGTTCAAATTGTTATTCTCTGCGAATCGCTGTTGTAAACTGGAAACGATGAACTAGTGAGGCGTTCATTTATTTGATATAGTCGAATTTATTCAATGTAAGGGTGTCAGGTCAAGTGATTGTATGACTATCACCTGACTTGAATTGCTGTGTGGATTCTATATCTCCTTCTGTTGCAATTCTGTCTACCTCCTGCTTGGTATTTATTATTCTATTCATAAACAATTCGGATTTTGTTTCTCTCTAACTCACATTTGGCAGACAAAATGAAGTCTCGTCTCTGGATGAAATGACGACTCTCTGTATCTTCTCTCCTCTGACTTTTCTAATTTTTACAACTGAAGGATCTGAAGAAGTTAGTGAGAAGGATGGTTTGAACAAATTAATCGCCTTCCTCATTAGTATTATTATTTTTCCCTTGGGTTCCTAGTGGAACATAGGGCTTCAACTGCACGCCTCCACTTACTTCTGTTTTGTGCTGTACGTTCCGCTTGCATCCATGTTAATCCATACTGTTTCAGTCCCTCATCACACGATCTCCTCCATGTCACCCTTGGACGTCCCACTCGTCGCTTCATTTTCGGGTTCCACTCGAGCAATGGCCTGACGCGCGATGTCACCCAACGGCCTCCTCAGCGAGTGTCCAATCCATCTCCACTTTCTCCTGCATATTTGTTGGGCGATTGGTTCCTGATTTGTTTGTTCCCATAGTTTCTTGTTGGTGATTCTTTCCGGCCATCTGATATTCAGTATAGAGCGAAGACAGCTGTTGATAAAGGTGTGCAACAGGCTGTTGGAAATATTCTTTGTGACACACTGGCCAAGTTTCTGATCCATATAGAAGAACTGACTGACTTGACGTTTGTATTGAAAATCCGAATCACTTTGTTGTTGATGCAGGCTGAGTGACGAAGATTTCCAGATTGATTTCAGGTTGATGAATGTGTTTCTCGCCTTCCCGATTCCCGATTTGACATCCTCGTCCGTTCCTCCTGTAGTTGAGACAATGCTCCCTAGATAAGTGAAAGAAGTAACCTCTTTCAAATCCCTCCCGTTGATGGTGATTGGCGCTGGATGTTCCTGCTGTTGTTGTTGTTGTTGGTTATTTTCATAACCTCCGTCTTGTCTATGTTCACCTGGAGTCCTGTCTTTGCTGCTTCTTCTACGAGTTTGTCGGTTTTTGCTTGTAAGTCTTCGATTTTGTGTGACATCAAACATAAATCATCCACGCGCGAAATCCAGGTCTTCTAGGTTCTTCACGTCAGTCCAGGACATCCCTGTCTTCTCGTTTCCCACTGTCTGACGCATAATCCAGTCCACCACAATTAGGAATATCATTGGTGATAATAAGCACCCTTGTCTGACTCCTGTGTTTACTGCAAACGCTTCGCTGAGTTTTCCTTTGTGGACCACTTGACATATGCCGTTGTCGTACAGCTGTTGTATAAGGTTGATGAATATTTTGGGTGCGCCGTAGTACTCGAGTGGTTTCCAAATTACTTCGCGGTCAACGCTGTCGAAATCCTTCTCAAAGTCTATGAAGTTGAGGTAGAGATTTGATTGCCATTCCATGCTTTGTTCGATGATGATGCGTAGAGTTGCAATTTGGTCAGAACATGATTTGCCTTTCCTGAATCCAGCTTGTTCTGGTCGGAGTTCTGTATCCAGTGCGTCCTTGATTCTCCCCAGGATGATGCGACTCAGGATTTTACTTGGCGTCGACAGGAGCATGATTCCTCGCCAGTTCTTGCAGAGTCCTAAGTCGCCCTTCTTTGGTAGTTTCACAAGGCAACCTTTCCTCTAGTCAGTAGGCACCTTTCCCTCTTTCCAGACCTTTCGCAATAATGGAGTCAGCATATCTGCTGTCGTTTCCGGGTCCGCTTTCAGTGCTTCCGGGGGTATTCCATCTGGTCCAGCTGCTTTTCCAGCTTTCAGAAGCTTCATTGCATTCAAGACTTCAGCTTTCGTTGGAGGATTGGTGTCAACTTGCAGTTGTGTACGTGCTGTTGTTGGTATTTCTGGACGAGTTGTAGGTGGTGGTCTGTTCAAGGGTCCTTTGAGGTGGTCCGCCCATTGTTTAATCTGTCTTTCTTCTTTGGTAATTGGGTTCCCTTGGCTGTCTTTTATAGGTTTCACTTGTGTTGATCTCTTCCCGGATAGAGACTTGGTTATCTGATATAGTGTCCTCAGGTCCCTTTTGCCTGCTGCCTTCTCAGTTTCAGTAGCCAGGTTGTCGTAGAATTGTTTTTTGTCCTTCCTGTCACTCCTCTTCACTTCTTTGTCCAGTGCTGTGTAAGTTGAGCTCAGCGTCTCTTTCTCTTGTCCATCTTTGCATTGATTCATTTTCTCTTTCACCTTTCTCCTCTCCTCTATTAGTTTCCAAGTGTCCGTTGTGAGCCATTCCTTGTTTTGTCTCTTCTTTCTTCCTAAAACCGTTGAGCACGTTTCGTTGAAAATCACCTTCAGAGAGTTCCAAAGGTCTTCCACGGATGATTCTTCAGTGGTGCCACGTAGTGTTTCCTGCTTTGCTCTGACAGTTGCAGTGAAAATGTCCTGTGTGATTGTGTCCTTCAGTTTTTGCGTGTTGAATGTCCTTTGTGCTAGATAGTGGTCTGAACCCACATCTGCTCCTCTCCTCGATCTTGTGTCCAGTAGGCTCCGTCTCCACTTCCTTGAGATTGAAATGAAGTCTATCTGGTTTTTGGTGTGTCCATCTGGTGAAATCCATGTTGCCTTGTGTATATCCCTGTGTTTGAACACACAGCCACCAATCACCAAATCATTGAAGGCGCAGAAGTCTGAGAAGAGTTCGCCATTTTCGTTCATTTCACCGAGGGCCTCATGACCCATGGTGAGTTCTCTTCCTGTATTGTCTCCTCTCAGTTTCGCATTCATGTCACCCATCAGGATTTTGATATCGCTCTTTGGGACGTTGTCCATTACTGTTTGTAGTTGACTGTAGAAATCCTCCTTCTTCTCTTGTTCTGAGGCGTTTGTAGGCGCGTAGCATTGAATGATTGTAACCTTTTTTCCTTTTGAGTTGAACCTGGCTGTCATTATCCTGGAGGAGAATGGTTCCCACTTCATGAGAGCTTTAGCCGCTGTTGGTGACATCATGATGGCTACTCCCTCGGTGTGCTCGTGATCGCCCTCTGGGTGACCGGAGTAGATTATTGTGTCTCCAGTTGGCAAGTTACACCTTCCGCATCCGTTCCATCTGCTCTCGCAGATTCCCAACACTTCTATTTTATATCTCCTCATTTCCGCGGCTACCTGAGCAGCCTTCCCAGCTTCGTACATTGTACGAACATTCCACGTCCCCATCCTTATTTTCGTTTTCATCGAAAGAAGGCACATCGGCTGACTGGCTTCCCGAAGGCTTTCACCAGCCTGCGTCATTTCACTTCCCCGATTCCAGCGAGAAATAAGGTCATTGTTTGTACTTTTAGAATTTTTAATATATTTTTGCGTTGAAGTTTTCGTAGCAATTTGGTTAAGTTTTGGGGGTGGAGCTGCTAGCACCACGCCCCAACCCTCCCTCTTTATCCGGGCATGGGACCGGCTGGAATACTAGTGACCTAGCAATCTAGGCGAGGTTCCTCATTAGTATTAGGATGTTTAAATTACACTAATTTCCATACTTATGACCTTTCCTCTGACCACTCATGCTCTTCCCACATTCGTTTTATTACCTGAAGGAAATTCGTCTAACCAGCTATGTCAGGAAGACAAAACGATCTCCTTTTACAGTTCGTTAACTCTTCTCCGTCTTTGTAAGCAACACTTAACCCCCCCTGGTCTGCCAATAAGAGGTTTCAGTATGTGGTTGCGTGCGTTGAGAGCTGCCGCTAGGACGTGTGCGT